GAGACACCGCTGGGCAGCTCGTCTATTAGATATTTCTCACAATGGTGACAGAAACCAAGCCTGGGATCGTGTTCGCAGCGCCAGAAATGAAACTCAGTGTGGTTTCGGTTCGAAACTATAGCAGGAACTTTATCGGATGAAAACAGGATGACAACAACGCTAGTTACATTTCATATTCAGTTTATAAGAAGTAAAATATAGCAAAATGCAAAGTCAGGAATGTTCTCACAAAGATAACAAACACCTAATGCTGTAACTAGAAACCGGATGGACGGCGCTAATCACAAGGGCATCGGGACGGTGTTAGCCGTACCGTTGAAATGGTAGTCATCAGGATTCCATAACTTACGCGCAACTTAAAAAAAGTTTAAAGTTGTAAATGTCAAACATGCTTCAATACTATTCGTCATTTATTTGTCTGGGCGGTCCGTAGTACCTTTGCCCATCAGTCAGTGTCTAATGTACCTTAGTCGAATCTGTCAATCCTGGTTGCACAGAAACCAGAAAATGTCAAAGAAAAAGAGAAAGGGAAAGATAATTAAAAAGGAGAAGAGCAAATAAAAACAGAAAATGAAAACACCTTGGCTTTTTGACTTGTTACACGGATTCATTTTGAGGTGAACTAAACAAATTTTGATTCGGCTTTGTTGGAGTGTAATTTTAAGTTTACTAGAAGTTCGCGCTAATTTTTGATTACAGTGCGAGCCGTGGCCTCGAATGTTTACGAACTTGCTCCACTGTGTAGTCCACTGAGTCGCGCAACAGAGCGTTGCTGTGCTGTTCCGCTTGACTATAACATCGCTGCGCCTGTAGCTTGATAAGATCTCTCAAGTAAGGAATGTTAAGGTCTCTGTGTAGTGTCTCGTTTGTGACACACCATGGAGCGTTGCAAATTATTATTATTATTATTATTATTATTATTATGATAATTGAGATGAGCAGAGTACACAGTACTATAAGCTCATGCAGTAAATATAGTGTACGGATACCTAACACAAATACATCAAATAGAAAAAAATAAAAAAAAAATACAGTTCATTGCTATAAAGTTTCTACACTCCTCCAGCTATCATACTGCACTTTGAAGCTATTAACTGAAGTAGCACCAACCACACTTTCAGGTAAACTATTCCAGGTGTTGAGTATGCGGTTGGGAAGAAACCACTGTCGGACTGTTGTTTTAAATGGCTCCTTATGCAGTTTGAAGCTGTGTCCGCGTAGATTGCTGCGCGACAGATGGTATAGATGCATGAGGTTGGTGCCCATCAAACCATGAAGTATCCTGAACGTAACTATAAGATCGCCACGAAGTCTTCGCTCAGAGAAAGAGGTCAGGTTGAATAATTCAAGGCGATCTTCATAGCTTGGTCTTCGTGCTCCAAAAGGGATACGAGTAGCCCGATGCTGTACTGATTCGACGAGATTTCTATCGCGCAGAAGCACAGTGTCCCATACCGGGCCAGCGAATTCAAGAATTGGCCTCACGAATGCCTTGTAAATGTAGGCGCAAGTGTTGACATCGGATCCTTTGAAAGACCTCTCCAGCATATTTAGAAGTTTCTTGGCTTTTGATGTAACGTGGTGAATATGCTCTGACCAGGAAAGACGATCGTTGACCATAACGCCCAGATCAGTGTGGCTCGAAACTGCTTCGATGTTGTGGTCAGAGATCTTGTATGTAAATCGCGGATTTGTCTTCCCGAGGTGAAGGACACAACACTTAGTTAGATTTAAGGGTAAAAGCCAACTGACTGACCATTGACAAACAATATCAAGATCTCGTTGAAGCATAGCAGAATTTACGACAGTATTGTAAATCTTGGTGTCGTCGGCATAAGCTGAACATGTGGAGGAAATCAATGCGGGCAGGTCACTTGTATACAGAAGGAACAGCACTGGCCCCAAGACAGAGCCTTGAGGAACTCCACTTGCTACATGATGAAGGTGAGACTGGCTATCACTGACGCGCACAGAGAAAGTCCTCCCGGTGAGAAAAGCCTTAATCCACAGTAACAACTCGCCTCTTATTCCCATACATTCCAACTTAAACAGAAGCCTTCTATGTGGTACGCGATCGAAAGCCCTAGAAAAATCTAAGTAGATTATATCAACAGGAGTCTTTGTGTCCAGATACTGAGTCCAATCGTTGAGAGAGTGGAGAAGGTTGGTCATTATTGATCGACCAGGGAGAAATCCATGCTGATTCTTAGGGATAAGGTCATTTTCGAAAGCAAATGACTGGAGCTTATCTAATATGATTCTTTCAGCTATTTTGGCGGCGATAGGAACGAGACTTATTGGTCGATAATTTTTAGCGGAGGATTTGTCGCCCTTTTTGAATACAGGGGTAACAGAAGCACTAAGCCAGCACGAGGGTAGGGTATGAGATTTAAAAGACGATGTGAATATCAAGCTTAATGGTAGGGCCAGTGATGAAGCGCAGTTTTTAAGTACAGCAGCCGTCATCCCATCTTTACCAGGGGAGGAAGAGGTCTTCAGATTTCGCAGGTGCATTAATACATCTTCAGGCAGGAACTCAACTTCGCAAAGGCTGTTGGGACACCTATCGCAGACACTGGTCGGTAGAAGGTCTCCATTAGGCTCATCGACGAAGTCATCACTAAAGGACTCTGCCAGTAAGTTGGCAGATTCGGTGGCATCCATGTGGAGATGACCGTCAGCGTCGCGGATCTGAGGTGATGAAACTTTGGAATTCAGGTTTGTTCTTAGATACCGAAACAGCTTCTTCTTATTTTTGGAGGTAACGAGTTTTCGTTCATAAGCATGTTTGGCATTATGTAACGTTCTAGATAGGAGGTTAGAAAAGGATCGATGAGACACGTAATCTTGTGAATGGCCACTCCTCCTAAACCGTTGCCACAAAGATCTCTTGTGACGAAGCATCCTCGATATGTTAGAGTTGATCCAGGGCTTTGAGGGGTCACAGTATACCTTCTTTTCAACAGTATTGTCAGCCGTTTCGCTTAGGACTCGTTGAGCGAAAGTGTCCCACATATCTTGGGTGCTACGGTTGTTAAGCAAAGCAGGCCAGTTGACTTCAGACAGGGCTTGGTTAAGAGCATCGTGGTTTACAATTTTGATGGTTTTAAACTTATCGGTTGTAGGACGACTATTTATATTGAACTGGAGAGAAGATAAAAGTGAACAATGGTCAGACTTGCCAAAAGGTGGCAAATAATCTAAATTAGAAACAAAGTCTGCGTCGTTAACGAATATCAAATCCAGAGCCCTAGGCGTCTGTCCTTCCCTGAATCTCGTTGGACGATCAACAAGTTGAGATATGCTAGAGTTGCGTAGTTCTACTTTCCAGTACTTGAAGACTTTGCGTGTGTGTCGCACATGCATAAGTAATGGCTGGTCTAATAATCATTTTATATAGGCGAACTTTGTTTATCAAACTCAATTTGGAGGAACTATACTAAGTGACATATAAACCCAGTTTAAATAGTTTTATTTTAATAAAATTTTGTATAAGTACTTAATGAAGCATAATAAGTAAATGATAAAAATTTCAAAATGCTTTAAAGCCCTTTGACCTTTAATAATGTGTGCATGCACCCTGATGTGCTACGCATTCTCCAACGCGCCTAGGCATGCTTCTGATCAGGTGGTCAATGTCCTCCTGTGGTATCTCATTCCAGGCAGCCACCAACTCCTCTCGAAGTGCTTCTAGAGTCTGAGGAGGACGTTGCAAATTGAGCAATCTCCTACCCATCATATCCCACACGTGCTCAATTGGGGATAAGTCGGGAGATCTTGGTGGCCATGGTAACAATGTGACATCATTATGTTGATAGAAGTCTATTGTGACTCTTGCAACATGTGGTCGGGCATTATCTTGTTGGAAAGTTGGATCTGCCAGGGTGTCAAGATAGGGTAAAAGACGGGGTTCTAGAACTTCGTGGATATAACGCTGGGCGTTCATGTTACCTCTGATGAAGATTAAAGGTGACCTGGAACCATAATCTATAGCACCCCAAACCATAACTCCAACCCGGTGTGATGAACATGTCTTTCAACAAAAAACTGTGGATTCCTCCTTTCACCACGTGGCCTTCTAACCCTGGCTCGACCATCGTGCATGCCTAAACAAAATCGAGACTCGTCAATAAAGACAATACTGTTCCATTCCTGATCCCAGAGTGACCGTTGTCTGCACCACTCAAGGCGATTACGTCGGTGTTCTCGAATTAAAGGGAGGACCCAGTGTGGCCGGTATGAAAACAAGCCAAAACTTCTCATTCGTCGGTAAACACTTCGCATGCCAATAGGTCTTCCGTGTTCTGCAAACCCTTCATTTGCAATGGACCTGGTAGTGGAGAAACGGTCCCTTAAGGCCAATAATCTTAGGCGGCGATCTTCACGGTCTGTTGTTCTACGGCGGCGTCCAGTGCCCCTTGCTCTTTGCGTACCGCCTTCTCGAAGCCATGCCTGACAACACCTAACCACAGTGTCTACACTTCTTTGCACTCTAACTTCAATTGCCCGAAAAGAAGGTCCAGCTTCCCGAAGTCCCACTATACGGCCTCTATCAAACTCCAGTTGACGAAATCGTACAGGTCTCCGTACTCTAGGCATCGTAACCGATCGTAAAGGATGTCAAGAACCTAAATCCGCCAACGTTGATTCTTTACTGCGGCTGAAATATTCATTTTTAGAGCGTTAGTGAATTAAAAAAAAGCAGTATGAAAACCGGAATGTCCAACTGATAAGGCTGAAAATTTTCTCACTTGTTATTTACAGTAAGGTAAATACATTCACCAACTTTTATTAAAATAAAACCATTTAAACTGGGTGTTCGGATTTATATGTCACTTAGTATATTATGTGACTTACCTAGTTTATGCACCTAGATCTTCAATTATAGTCTTGAGGTTAACATAACACAGACATAATAAATGGAGCAACTTGAATATATTCGTTTTTAGAATTTATTTTTTATAAAATCGAATTAAAATATGTAATAAACAAATCATTTCCTCCCATCCTCATCCATGCTATCTCATCATCTGGCCTTGACGAAAACTTTGGGTCCGCCTTTTATTCTAGTAAATGCATGTAGTTCCGTTTCGACTTCTTCTATAGATTTATATTCTGTGAATATTCTCAATTTCCTGATAACGTGAGCCAGTAAAACCGTTTGGCTCATCATTGCATATTTCCAACCTGAAATTTTAAAATGATGAATTGATAATTCGTACAGTAATAATATAAAACTATAGCACTTAATTTAAAAAATAATAAGAAAATAATGGAAGTATAATGGGACCGTTCAGCTAACGTAAAGCAGTGCAGTACATTGATCAACATAAAAGCGCTGCACCCCTGACAATTACAATTTATCAGAAAATGAAGTCGATGTTAGGTAAGTTTATGCAGCGACTACAAACAAGGTTATTTTTTAATAGATTCTATTATGTACTATATCCCATCTCATCTTCATTGATTCACGTGATTGTCACAGCCACCGTTGCGATACTGTTGGTCTCCCTCCGGGTCAAGTTATCAAGCTAAAATTCGGGATTATGAATGCTTTAACGCAAAAATAACAGATGAATATTTCAAGACTAGGCGCCATCTTGTAATATTTTTCAAATGGAATGTGGCTCTTGCGATGACCGACGTTAAAGCTTCCAGTCAGTAGAACACTTCATAGCATTTGAACATAAAATCAGTATCTTTCAAGACGGCGGAATAGCAGGCTGTCAAAGTTGACATTCTTTTTAGATTGATTTGCTCATAACTCAATGACTAATCATAAGAAGGTTACAGTAGGTTATGTCAGTCTTCTAATTTTGTGCAATAAAATATGGGCAAACTCACTCAAGAAGGTTGACCTTGCACTTCCTACGCAACGCCGTCATCAAGTCGTAATGGATCATTTTCGATACAAGTAGTCCCTCTTAGAAAAGTGTTGGCTACTAACACCACAAAATAATTAGCTGTCCATAGTCCAAGAATGCGATTTGACCTACCTCCCAACCGACAGTACCAACCACCCAGCAACGTCGCAATCCAGCACGGTGTTATACACGAATACAGGGTTGCCATATTGGGAGATTTTCTCTCAAATTTGGGGATCTTAGATTTGGGAATTTTTAGGAAATGAAATTTTCTATGCGATTTTTTGGGGGAAAATACTTCCACGCCAGGGGCGTACGAAGTGCAAAATTTCCTCGCACCTTTCTTTCAAATGGTATGTTCCATATTTTATTCGGATAGATCCTCCCAACCATTTAAGTGATTGGTTGCTGAGTGATTAGCTACTTAATGTACAAGAATAGTCAACTTTGACTTATCAAATCGAAATTTTAGAAGTTAATGATTTTATATTCTAAGATTATGAAGTACTAATTTGAGACTCTTGAACTGCAAATTGTAGGCTAAAGCATAGTATTCATGCATCAATTCAATGACCCAAATTTCTACTTTTCATTTATTCAAGGACCCTTTTGCAATATCTTTTTCTGTTTAGTGCTCTACTTTCTGCTCTTCTCAACTATACAAGACGGACAAAGAACGAGCTTTGGTAGTCCATCTTCATTTCAGATGAGATTAAGGTCCTAATGTTGTTAATGATGTATTTCTGCACTTAAAGGCGTTTTTCTATATTTTTCTGATTAGTCAAAAGAAATTTCTACATAAGGAGCTACCGATAATGATATTTATTTCTAACTCCGTATATTTCAAACTAAAATTTGTTCATTTGCACGCATTGGGTAATTAATGCCTACTACTATTCCTGGTTTGTTGGTAAGCGTTTTATGCTGTCTTGCATTTGGAAAAAGTCCATACCATCCTGCGTCTATTACTTACCGATGCAATTTCTAACGCCAAACGAAAATGGAAAGTAGGTTAGAGGATGCCTGTCTGCCATATTTTCAGGCAAAAACCTGTCTGGATCAAATTTCAACGGGTCCTTCCAGTGTTCTTCGGACCTATGCATATGCAATATGGGGAATACAAGACAGGTGCCTGCAGGTGCTACATAATTACCTGTAAAATATTGCAATAGAGTACATTTATTTTTATTTAAGCTTGATCTTGAGCTACGATCATTATACAGGTATATTACCTGTGGTATAGCAACATTCCAAGGCTATCGAATGTAACTCATTTTCTCAAAGGGCAATCAATAGTGTTTATATGTACTTCCATTGCCTGCGTAAGATGGGTAGACGTTCAAAATCTTGTGGTTGATTTTTATACATACCTTATTATTACAAGATAACAACCAGCACAGCCAGACACTTGCTGCCGATGCTTCAAAGCAGGACGTTCCAATATAAATAGACATCTTTCTCTATACCTTATTTATACGGGACTTCAGAAAAGAAAAGCTCTATATAAATGTTAACATCAAGCTTTTCATAGTGGATCTCACAAAAGCCAAATCGAATCAAGCTATATTTTTTTTAAACAAAATACTTTATTTGACAGCACTGAAATCTGGTGTACAAAAAATTACATTGCATGTAAAATTATATATTGTTATAAGTTCTATGAAACTTTTTTCTCTGAGCACTGATGAGATGGGTCGATTCATAGCGGAACACTCTGATTCAAAGCGTCTTTGTAATAATGTTCAAAAAACCATGAATATATGAAAATCAACGATCAGAATTTAAGTGGATGATACTTAACCTTTCTCACTTGGCTTACCTTACCTCACTCAGCAGGGGCGCAGGCAGGAGGCAGTACATATAAATGCTAAAATAACTCCATCTTGTTACGTCATTGTGAAGAGAAGTTTTAAATACGTACCAATAACTACATCTTCTACGACATGTCGGCCAACCATGGCAAGCACAGGAAACAGCCTCAATGATTCTTTCACTACCCTTTCTGTGTATTCAAGTTTTGGTACGTCATTATATTCAATATTCTTGTCTGGACCTACCACACGCATTACTTCATCGTATACCTTGTCCTAAAAGTAATAGTGTTCACAGTTGAACTTGTTAGTTTTCTAATATCTATGGGCCGTATCGTCAGTCGCCTACAATATTACCACCTTGATTTTTATAGTATTTTCTCTCGTCCAGAAAGGCTGTGGAATTTTTAGGCTTCTACCGTTCCGTAAGAGCATCAAGGTTGACCTATTGTGAGGTGATGCTTTATTTTTGAATCTTGAGAAATTTTCGGCTGATAGGAAAGGATAACAAAGGCTAAGAAGGCCATAAAGCCGTATCACAATGGCAGTAACGATACGACACTGTCCATGGGAAGGCGTTCCAGTTAATTTTATATTCGGCCAGCTGATATAGACATAGACTTAGGCCCGTATCGTCAGTTGTCCCTACAATTGTAGGGCGCGTTTATGGCCTCCTTGATTGTCATACTCCTTTCTCTCCTTCAAAAATTTCTAGATTACACTTGTCCCGTGTCAGCGTCAGCGCTCTCCTATTGTGAAGATATGTTTTCTTTTTCAATTGTAGGAAATTTTGGCTGATAAAACATGATATAACTCAAAAGCAAACAAAATTTGATGCAAATAGATGTTTGTGACATTACCTCAAAATAGGGCGCTGACACGGTGAAGTAGAAAACTATGACAATCAAGGAGGCCATAAAGGCGCCCTACAATTGTAGGGACGACTGACGATACGGGCCTTAGTATGAATATTATTTTTTTTTTTTTGGCATCAAATGACAATTTTTCACCCATGTCCTTCTTTGTACAATAAACGGTTGTGTATAAAAAATCAATTAGACTGTCAAATTGATATATCCTCAAGTATTGTCCATATTTATTTCTTGCTAAACAGTGACTAGAGCCTGCAGCTTCGAGTGATATAGTTTGGTCAATTCATTTATTTTTATCTCAAAGGCTTCTCTCAATTTTTGCCTGGATTCAGGCGTAGATAAAATGCTGTATCTCAGGCACAATAAGTGCTTTACGGCCTAGACACGTACCGGATGATGCGAGAGGTTGTTGAACTCTACATGAAAATTGATTACTTGATCCTTGAAAAGACGTTTATTTTTGCAATATAATCTCCCTTAAGTTCAACAAGTCTTTTCCGTAGATTTTCTGTGTGATTTACACCTTCCCTGAAGCGATCCTGTGGAGGCGCTTTAAAATACCCGTCTACAGCTGTAAGAACTTCTTCACATGCTGGAGGGCTCCGAATCTAGCGGCTTTTCAAGTAACTCGAAACTTAATTGAATGGTTATTGCTATTGTTAGGAGGGCTTCTCTGAGGAGGTGCACCGACTCGATAAGATATGATTTTTTTTTCAGTAAACCTGATCTTTCCTCCCGAATTTTTACAGCCAGCTGATTGAAATGCTAATACTGTGTCAGTGTTTTTTCACTTCCACGTAACATATGCTAAAGGACAAAGAAAGGTAAACTCTTCTTCTTCTTCCTACTTTATTTTAAGGCTCATGCTTGTGTTACTTCGGTTTTTAGCCTCAATTGACGTTGTCTGGCCATCTTTTCTTCGGTCGTCCTATTGATCTTCTTCCATTTGGCGATCTTTCTCTTGCTATTCGTACTGTACTATTTTCTGTCATTTTTTCTATGTGTTGATTCCATTCTATTATTCTTCTTTTGTTCCATAGGCTTATTTCCTCTATACCACATCCCGCTCGTATTTCCTCACTTCTTACTCTGTCTTTTAGAGTTTGGTTTGTTATTTTTCGTAAGACTTACATTTCTGCTGTTTCCAGTAAAATTTGTGTTTTCGCCGAATCTGCTCTTGTTTCCGCTTTGTACATCATTATCGGTCTTATTGTTGATTTATTGTACAGGGTGTCCCAGAAGTCGACGTCAAGCCGAAACCCAGTGATAGGCAAAGTCATAACAGCTATCAGAAAAATATTTAAAAAAATTTTATGTATGTGTTTTGAAAATTATAGGTCTTTGAAAAAGATATAGAAATTTCACACCCCACGGCAGTCTGTCAATCCCAATATTAAATTTTTTTGGATTTTATTTTTACAATGTAATGATGAATAATGCATCTTCAAACTGGTGTCTCAACCTTACTGCCAACTTTTCTCGTTCAGGAAAAATTGCCACTTATTTCCCAACCGAGTATTCCAAAGTAAAACTTTGCTCAACTTTAACTGGCTGTACTGGAAAAAAATGTACTACGAGAGTTTGGCAAGTAACTTTAAAAGTTGGCGCATTTAATAACGATTCCAAAATGGTATAACACTTAGAAGATTACTAGTTAACTTATGCATAATTTTTATTTGAAAGAAAACTGATGAACATTTTTCAACATTTCCTAATTAAACAGTCATTATGAAAACGCACAAGGACCCTTAAGGATAACTGTTTGCACAACAGTGGGCGTCAAAATGCTGTTGATGATGATTTACCTTTACAGCAAATGCTCAAACTGTTTTCCTTCAGCCGCAATACACGCTCGACATCTTCTTAAAAAAGATCGGGTTATTAAACGAGCGAATCCACGGTTATTAACAAACTCAGCTGCTTCCAATAGTCTTTGCCGTAGCTCAGCTACATTTTGAATCGGCTTGAAATACGCTTTTTCGTTTACAGTTCCCCAGTAAAAAAAATCTAACGGATTCAAATCTGGTGACCGGGCTGGCCACGGTATTGTACCAGACCGCCCTATCCGTCTGCCTGGAAAGTTTTGATCGAGATACTCTCTCACTGAGAGTGCATAGTGCGCTGGGCAGCCATCATGCTGAAACCACATGTCCCTGTAAATACTCAGTGGCACGTCCTCCAATAAATTTTCTAAATGATTTTGCAAAAAACCTAAATAAACCTCAGCAGTCAAAGTCTCTGGGAACTCAAACGGACCGATTATTTTACCATTTAAAATTCCTGTCCAATGGTTTATCTTGAAGCGATATTGAGATTTATCTTCTCTCATCAAATGTGGGTTTGCTACGTGCCACTCGTGTAAGTTATGCAGGTTCATGTACCCATCTGTTTTAGATGTGGTCTCATCTGACCATAACATTTTTTCAAAGAACCGTGGATCTTCCCTGTGTCTTTCTAACATTGTGCGACAAAAAGCAACTCGGGGCTCATAATCCCGGGGCAGAAGAGCTTGAACACGCTGTACGTGGTATGGATGGAGCACGTTTTTTTGAAGATTCTATGGGCTGTACTTTTGGTCACACCTGTTCTTAGTTCTATTGCACGCACTGAAGTACTCGGGTCTTCTTCGACAGCTCCTAGCACCACGTCTTCGTAAGGAAGGAAAGATCTTTCCTCACCATGTGATTGGTTTGGTAGTTGGCCCTCTGAGAACAGTAAGAGGTGCACATTTGTGAACACTCGATGATCTGGATGACGAGCTGCATTCGGGTACCTCTCACAGTAAAGTTTCGCTGCAGCACTAGCGTTGCATCTGCATTCCCCATAAATGAGATGCATGTTAACATATTCTTGTACGGTGTACACGGACATAGCGGCACTGCACAATCACACTATCAAAGATAGTCTAAGGAAAGCATATGTTGTTTTGAAGAGCAATTAAACAGTCCAAATCCAAATCACAAGCGATCAACAGTCCAGTTCATGAATCCAAAATTAGTAACAGTACGAAATCAACAAGCACGAACATGTAAAGATGCGCAGTAAACGAAGGAGTACTGATCGGTATCAAAGTCTGCAATAGCAAGTAAGTGATGTGCTTCATCCATACCACATACAGCGTCTTCAACCTCTCCTGCCTCGGGATTATGAGCCCCGAGTTGCTTTTTGTCGCACAATGTTAGAAAGACACAGGAAAGATCCACAGTTCTTTGAAAAAATTTTATGGTCGGATGAGACCACATTTAAGAAAGATGGGTACATGAACCTGCATAACTTACACGAGTGGCACGTAGCAAATCCACATTTGATGAGAGAAGATAAATCTCAATATCGCTTCAAGATAAACCATTGGACAGGAATTTTAAATGGTAAAATAATCGGTCCGTTTGAGTTCCCAGAGACTTTGACTGCTGAAGTTTATTTGGATTTTTTGAAAAATCATGTACGAAATTTATTGGTGGACGTGCCACTGAGTATTTACAGGTACATGTGGTTTCAGCATGATGGCTGCCCAGCGCACTATGCACTCTGAGTGAGAGAGTATCTCGATCAAAACTTTCCAGGCAGATGGATAAGGCGGTCTGGTACAATACCGTGGCCAGCCCGATCACCTGATTTGAATCCTTTAGATTTGTTTACTGGGGAACTGTAAAAGAAAAAGTGTATTTCAAGCCGATTCAAAATGTAGCTGAGCTACGGCAAAGACTATTGGAAGCAGCTGAGTTTGTTAATAACCGTGGATTCGCTCGTTTAATAACCCGATCTTTTTTAAGAAGATGTCGAGCGTGTATTGCGGCTGAAGGAAAACAGTTTCAGAATTTGCTGTAAAGGTAAATCATCATCAGCAGCATTTTGACGCCCACTTTTGTGCAAACAGTTATCCTTAAGGGTCCTTGTGCGTTTTCATAATCGCTGTCCAATTAGGAAATTTTGAAAAATTTTCATCAGTTTTTTTTCAAATAAAAATTGTGCATAAGTTAAAGAGTAATCTTCTAAGTGTCATACCATTTTGGAATCGTTATTAAATGCGCCAACTGTAAGGTTATTTGCCAAACTCTCGTAGTACATTTTTTCCAGGACAGCCAGTTAAAGTTGAGCAAAGTTTTACTTTGGAATACTTGTTTGGGAAATAAGTGACAATTTTTCCTGAACGAGAAAAGTTGGCAGTAAGGTTGAGACACCAGTTTGAAGATGCATTATTCATCATTACATTGTAAAAATAAAATCCAAAAAGAGTTAATATTTGTAGTAACAGGAGTTGACAGAATGCCGTAGGGTGTGAAATTTCTATATCTTTTTCAAAGACCTATAATTTTCAAAACACATACATACAAATTTTTTTAATATTTTTCTGATAGCTGTTATGACTTTGCCTATCGCCCGGTTTCAGCTTGACGTCGACTTCTGGGACACCCTGTATATCCTAGTTTTCGTTTCCGTTGTAAGGCATCTGCTTCTGAAGATCGTATTGTTGAGACAGCCTGCTGCTCTGTTCGCCATGTTCACTTGGTTTTGTACTTCTTCTTCCACTTTTCCATAGCTTGACAGTTTGATTCCCAAGTATTCCGTTTCCATCACTTGTTCTATTATTTTGTGATTTACGACCAGTTTACATCGTCTTGGTTCCGCTGATATCACTATCGATTTAGTTTTCTCTGTTGAAATCGCTAGGTAAACTCTTACTAGTAAAATGAATAAATTTTCAGCGTGATTCTTCAACTGCAGAAGCTGGCTCAATAGTGTGTTGATAAAGTGCAAACGTGTAATACCCTGTTATTAAACAAGGCGAATTGCAGCGTCGTAGAATAAGCGTCCTTCGGTTTTAGGGCAAGAAGGACGTTAAACAATTAGTTACTGTGAGTATACTCAGAAACAGTTTCCGAAACCAGTTTCATGTTGCCTTATTTTAGGCGAAGGCATAGAGAATAAATTACATACCCTTAAATGATTGCTGAACTTATAACCTAACAATTACTTCTTCCTTTCCACGGAAAAATACACTTTATCTCTTACCTGTATTTCAGGAAATAACCCCATGCAAAGTAATATGGAGGTGGTCGTAACTGCGGATGTTTCTGTAGCCTGGAATGGCAAGATAAACCAATTATACTACGTCCCAAATGATTGCGCATTCATAAAAGTGAGTAAATGAAAGCAATGGTATTTTATTAGTCAATTTAGGTGTGCAAAAGCAGCCTCGTTCAAGTTCGTCCAGTGTGCAATTTTTCTATGGAGCTTTGACATTGATGACGTGAAGAGAACTATAGTTTTCAAAACTGTTGGCTTCTTAAAATAATATTTTACTGCAACTTAAATTAGTCAGTAAGTTAACGCCGTAAGTGGAATGTAACCTTTTTTTCAATCATGCAAAATAGTTTCAAGACTACACCTATCAATTAGCCAACGACGAAAAATTGAGATACAATAACATTCTGACTTTTTTGCAAACGGCACGTATCTATATCACAGCTAAATTTTTTTCTGATGCGTTTGGCATTCCGGTACTTACTGCCATTACGATGGTATTTATTTCCTCTCTCAGTTCTTCCTCAGAAAATCCAGAGTCTTCCAGTAGCAAATCCAATACCACTTTTCTTTGTATTATTGACCCTGAAAAGTTGACACACTTATCGTGCAAATATGATATTGGACGGTTATATACGGCAATATAGCATAAGATACACCAAAATAGCCAGGGTGATTATTTCTTAGAAGAATTCTGCGAGGTTGTAAGCATGTAGCTAATGCAAAAATGGCGTCAAGTAGGTTAACTCTACACTTCCAATCAAACAGGTCTATATAGTTAGCTCATACTCCCCACCCATTGGACAATGTTGTGATTTAGAAATTTCTTCCCTGACTTAGCGACAGTAGCGAGCATCTGGTAACGTTACTAACCTCGCCACTTACTAGCTATAGTAGCCGCACACCGCTCAGGTTTCTTTATGAACGTCAGCAGGTGGTGCAACTGTAACTCTAAACCTTGCCTTGTTACATCTGGTGTTCCTCATTGATCAGTACTTGGCATAATACGGTTTTTACTGTACATTCATACGGTTATATCTGACTCTTCTCTAGTAATTTACGTAAATAGTATGAAAGAACAGGCTTAACAGCTTCTTCTACATCGTTAGCGTTACCTTGGCAGATTGATTCAGCTTATTATTATTCTTAATCTTTCTGTATTTTCTTTTTCATTCATTTATTGGGTTTAATTTTATAGTATCCTCTTTCTCTACATATTTATTATTATTATATATCTGATAAAGGCGCAGAGTTGACATGCTTGGAACTGTAAGAGTTAAGGTATATCCTCCTCCATCCCCTACAACCTCCGACTCCCAATTTATATTGTCAGCAAACATTTGTCTGAGAATGATCAGGAGCATGTGAACTGTGACGAGGTTTGCGTGACTTTCGCTTTTTGTGTTTTGGTCAAAGTCCCGCCGCCACTAGATCATTTTCCAAATACATACCTTTTTATCCTTGTTATAGCCGTAAAATTTCATGAAACTCCAACCGGTACTTTCCAAGTTATGGCGACACCAAAGATTAGCAGAGAAATAGAAACATCGATCTCATGTTCGAAATTTTTCGCGATCTCTTGTCGGAAGTAAAAGATACTTGCCAAATACGGCTAGCCGCTATATACCATAATGCTTAAAGGAGCTAATAAAGTTAGTTATGTATTCTTACCATCGTCGAAGTCATAGGTTTTGTTCCCGTTTTTACGCTTCTCCTCATAATCTTGCAGCTTCTTATTGACTACCTAAAAGCAAAATTGGCAGATGTCAATTGACAATTTTCAATAATCTTGTTTCGCTGATTTGCCCTGATCTTCCTTATTTCGATTCTGCGCAGTAGCCAGACAATCCTTCGTTATCCGTAATCAAAATGATACTATGAATCTAGTACTCGTTGTTATAATATTTCAGGTCGATCAGGACTCTCTATCCTGTGTCACGAAGTCTAATAACTAAATTTACAAACATCCGGGAGGCCGGAGGACTTCTAAACCTTTCTGCGTTCAGACAAATGAAAGTATACGCACTATTAAAGGAACTTATACAAGTGATCGAAACAAAGACTCGTGCTGAAAGCCATAAAATAACACAAAAAGTTTTCTAAATTTAGATAAACGATAACAGTAGTAAACAAAAAACGCTAAGATTTTGCCTGGCAGTGGCACAGCGAATCGGAAAGTCTGTCTAATAACATCCTTATTTTTAAAAATTTTTAATATTTACTATTTTTTTTTTATTATGCAACTTTTATGTAGGTGGTTTTGTTTTACTTGTTCTATGGTTCTACGATTCTGAACAGACTTACTCCTTGTCCGGTTTGGATACAAATATTACCGGCTAGAGTATCACGTATCTTGAAAATTGACATTATGCTGTTTTTTTTTGACATTGTGTAAGTTAGTCATGAGGCTTGTTATCAATCTTTGGCTTTGACGTGATGTAAAATATGTTTCTGAGATGGCATTACTGGAGGTCTAGGCTGTAAGTTGTATGTGTTGATGATAATCTCAATGGGATCTTGACTCAAATACATTTAATTGAGGTTCAAAGCTAGAAATTAATTGCGCATGCACTTTTTCTTATTCATTCTGGAAATTACATTTACAAATTTTCTGAATTTCAAAAATGATTTTATACACAAGCAGACCAATACGCATAATCATCCAGATGCGATCTTGCTATTCAACCAACTTTCGTCTCAGAGATAAAAACTATAGATCCGGATCACTCAGCCTCACAAAGCTATGCAACCAATAATGCGTACTTAGTTGAGTGATTCCTCCACAGATGGACGTTCACAACGATCCTAGTGAGCAAACGTGGAATGACTGTTTGCGCCCTAATTATTACCTAGACTTCAGGTTGACATCTTATAGGTTTTTTTTACGTTTTATAGGTTTTTTACATGATACCCGTGCGGATATTTTCCGTGAACAAATTTAGAATTTAAATTTTTCGGTAAGCCACACGTCAAAATGAAAACAAGATAAGCCACCTGTCATGAATGTCAGAAGTCGGTACTAGCAATTTACCACGGGTCATAAACACTTTTTTCCTGTTATCGCTTTCAAGAATAACGCAACATAAGGCTTGTTATTTATGCACTAAAAACTGTCAATTTATTATTTGGTTAAACATTTTCCATAATTTTATTTTTCTATATACGTTCGTGAGTTTCTTATGACGGTCGGCAGGGTGATGCTTTTATTTTATAAGTCTGTTTTTTTCAGAAAGATAGTAATTCTACAGATTTTAAATTTTGGATACATTTTGGATTTACAAAAAACCGGTTACTGGTTTATGGTTCCTCTTCACATAAAATCAGCTTTCACTTTGTCATGGCAGCATAATTTTCATTACAGTAGCATACTTACCCTTCTGAACAACTCGTTAATCTTGCTAGCACTGGCTTCGATTTTCTTTTTATCATTTGAGTGCTTCCAAATAAATTCGCTGTGGTATCGGAGCGTAAAGATTTTTTTTCCAAATAATTGGATCGCCCTAAAAGATAAAGGTATACAGAAATATGTTGACCCCGGGATACTATTTTTGAAGAAATTATTACAAATTAACAACACACCAGTCTCATAGAGTCAATCATCGATACATATGCATATACAGGGTGGCCCATCCGTGTGTGGATGGGATATTACCCATAAACAAATACATTTTGGGAAAATCTATTTATGGGATGATATATATGACATTAGAGGGCACATTTCTAAAATATAGGCAAGGGATGTACCAATTTCGAGCTACATATCAAAGTTGGGATTTTTCAAATGGAATGCCTAAACTTTTATTGCATATTTGGATAAACCATTTCAAAAGAAGAAAATTGAAATGACATACTATAGGGTACCACATAGTATGTCTTCGTTTTTTGGATTGGTTTATCCAAATATGCAATAAAATTTGAGGCATTCCATTTGAAAAATCACAACTTCGATATGTAGGTCAAAATTGGGACACCCTCTATGATTGCCAATATTTTAGAAATGTGCTCTCAAAATGTCATGTATAACATGCCATAAATAGATTTTCCCAGAATGAATTTGGGAATGTTTATGAATAATATTCCGTCCACACATGGATGGGCCACCCTGTGTACATACAGCGTGTCCCAGATTCGCTTTTCTGCTGTTATACCTACAGCAAACGTTAATTAGGGGGAGTTTTAGAGGAAACTTAGTGCGTTCGATAGCCGGCTTCACACTTACGATCGGTCAACTGGTTCTGGAAATATCGGCGTAAAACCGATAATCTCGGATTTTATTTTGTTTGCAGTAAATCTGAAAAGGTTGACCTGACGGCTGTCAAAATGTGACAATATTCGGAAATTTTTCAAAGCAAATAAGCGTATATGACATGCCTCAAGCATCTTTTGTTTTTCCGCAACCTGCCTTAACTTTTGATGCTTTCACAACTATACTGAAAACTGAGAATTTTGATTTTTTAGCAGTAAGTGAGACATGGCTCTCTAGCGACATCCCTGATAACATTGTACGTGTCGATGGATACAATTTTTTCCGTTGTGATCGAGCCTCACGAGGCGGTGGTGTTGGCATTTATATTAAATCGCATTTGAATGCAAAAGTTATTAATGTTGATATTCGTGTTGTATGTTTAGAGACTCTTTTTGTGCAAGTGAATGTAGATAAGCATAAATTCGCGGTCGGCGTTTTGTATCGTCCGCCGTCGAAAAGTCTTTTGGACTGTGCTAATGTCTTAGATAATTTGCTACCCGTCATAGTTAATGATTTTGACAATGTTATTGTTTTCACGATTTTCTGAATTCAAGTAATATCATATCCTCGAGTTTTCACAGTTAATTACATCTCCTACACGGGTGACAAACGACACCGCTTCATTGCTTGATCCATTTTTCACTAATCAGCCGGAACTTGTCACTGGCTGTTTGGTACTTGATACTCATGAAATATCTGACCATAAGCTTGTTATGTGTACTCTGAAACTTAGTGCTGGCAAGATGCATCAAAAATTCATATCCGTGAGAGACTTCCGTGAGTTTGATGAGGCAGCTTTCATTTCAGATCTGTGTACCTCTAATCTTGATTACTTATATTTTATGAATAACATAGATGCTAAAATGGAACATCTGACGACAACCCTCACAAATATTTATAACAAACATGCTCCGATTAAGACACTACGTGTTAATAAACCGCCATCTCCTTGGTTGGATGAGGCAATGAAAAAGCTTATCAAAGAAAAAGATTCAGCTTTTACCAAATATAAAGCTAGTAAATCACTTGAAGACCTTGATAAATTCAAACAGCTGAGGAATAAGGCACTACATAAAATTCGAATTAAAAAGAAAGAGTACATTCAGAATATAACTGATCAAAATAATCTTTAAACTTTATGGTCTGGGCTGAATAGGCTTAACATAAAATCTCGTTCAAAACAAACAATACCAGATGAACTAGCCGATGCAAATAGTATTAACAATTATTTTATGTCAGTTTATAGTTACGACAGTGTCTCAGACAATGTATGTCGGTTTTATGACAGCAACAAATTGGACAATCGAAATCGCTTTTCTTTGCGAGTTGTCGAGCCGGTGGAAATATTGAAGGCAATCAAAGATATCAAATCAGATGCAAAAGGAATTGACACCCTCTCACTAACCATGGTCAAAGTAAGTCTTCCCGTAACTTTTTTCCATATCACCCACATAATAAATTCATGTTTTGAAAATGGCTACCACCCTAAGCTGTGAAAGCTGGCTCTAATTATACCTGTCCCTAAAATATCTAAACCTACTGAACTTAAACATCTTAGACCCATTAGTTCGTTGCCGGTGCTATCGAAAATTTTGGAAAAAATTATACAGCAACAAGTAGTCCATTACATAGAGGAACTAAAAATAATATCGTCATGTCAATCGGGCTTCAGGAAGCACCATAGTACCACCTCGGTACTGTTAGATCTTTGTGATAATGTTATTAGGGCAGTTGACAAAAAGTTAGCAACAGCAGTGGTATCAATTGACTATTCCAAAGCATTCGATCGAATAAATCATAAACTTTTGTGCGCCAAGCTGAGGTATATAGGCTTCGATGATGCTGCTCTCAGTTTTTTCCGTAGCTATTTGTCCGGTCGCACGCAATGTGTCGCAATCAATAACGATCAATCCAATATTACGACTATTCCGTCAGGAGTTCCGCAAGGCTCAATTTTGGGACCTGTGCTCTTTTTGATTTACACGTGTGACCTGCATAAAGCAGTTGACAATTCAGGCATACAAACATTTGCTGACGATACTCAAATAATATTCCATTTCGATGCCTCAGATACGCAAAATTCATCAGACATTTTACAGCTTGATTTAGATAAGGTACATCAGTTTTCTATGGAACATAATCTTGCTATTAATCCAGATAAGACTCAAGTGTTACTGTTTTGTTCTGATCAGAAGAGGAAAACTGTCGAAGATTCTCTCCATCTGACTATTGATGGCATAACATTACAGCATACTCTATACAGCTAAGGTACTAGGAGTGGAAATTGACACAAAATTAAGATTCCGCAGCCAAATAGCTAATTTAATGAAAAAAACTTACCTGTGTTCTAGGGCTCTTTATTCCAATCGCTACTTGCTTAACTGTAAGCTGAGAAAAAAACTATGCGAATCTTTGGTGATGTCAACGCTCAGTTACTGTGATGACGTTTATTATCCATGCTTGGATCAATTGACCAAAAATCGTCTTCAAATCATAACTGTGTTCGCTTTATTTATGGGGTGCGTAAATACGATCACGTAAGTGATAAATATAGGGAATTGCACTGGCTTAGGTTAGGAAGTTTGGTTAAACATAAATTCTTAGTTTTAGTTCATAAAATAATATTGTCATCAAAGCCTGAATATCTAAGAGCTAAGTTAAGATTTAATTACGAAGTGCATGACAGGGCTGTTAGGAATCGTTATAGTATCAGAACCACCCCACACACTTCTGCATTATTACAACGAGGATATACATATAATGCAGCACTATTTTATAATCAGTTGGACAACAGTATTAAATTGATGTCTTTGGAAATTTTTCGTAAACATACTAAAAGCATGTTGCTCGCTATTGATTAAATAAGCATTTCTGCTACAGATATAGATTGTGTCCATTTGTATTTTATACTAAGGTATATATGTGTTCTTTTTTTCATTGTTCTTATATTTTTTTCCATGTTTTGAACATCAGATGTAACCGACATAAACAGTTAAGTGTAAGAGTAGCCTTGGCTAAACTTCGCTGTTTATGTCCCTCCGGGTTATACAATAAAGACGTTATTATTATTATTATTATTCACTTTCATTTTTTTATTTTTATGGTCGTTGTAATGGATTGTTCCATTTTTGAAAAGAGCGTGAGATTTCCAGTCTAGTGACCTCGCACAAGTGCATAAAAGATTGGAGTATCATCAAAATATCATTACACTTAATGTCACTTATGATTTTTCTTCTAAGGAGGCCATAACTTATTTGTCAGAAAATGAAATTGATAAGTAACGCATTTTTTTCATCTAAGGAGGCTCTGACTTTAACGTTGAGTAATTCAAAGTATTAAAATTTTATTTTAATAAGTAGCAGGTACTTTTTCTCTCATTAGCATCAGAAACCTGACAAAAAAATCGTCAAAGTGGCCGGTATTCCCTACTCAAATGAAGAAAAGTTAGCGCTGTTGTTGCAGTCACACAGAAACGCCGACATTACAGACCAGAAACATTTTACATGCTTTCAAAGGAATCTCTAATACATCAGCAATATCTATAGTTCGAGATATTGGTGTGTCAAAATGAACAGTATAGAGAGTGTTAAATAAGAATAAGTACCATCCAACCGACAATGGTTTAAGGACTTAAGGAAACTAGTCTTCCGAAGCGAATGCGCTTCTGTGACTGGTATACTACCAAGTTTTATGAAAATACCGATTTTGTAAATCATGTATTGTGGTACAAATTATGGAGATCTTAATAAGCACTCATCATTGGGCTGTGGAAACCCCTCGCAAAGAGTCAGAGAGACGTTTGGTGTGGGGTCATTGGTAATAAAATCCAACTTACCTTCGTTAATTGGGCACCTATTTGAAATTAGGTATTAATCATTTCAGGAAATTGACTTATAGGATCATTTTTGTTTTAATACAACCTAAACGGACAGAGCTAGATCCCAAGACCTTTCACCCTAGGATTTCTACCTCTGGGGTCACACAAAGTATGAGTTTGATGAATTTGATCCTGCTGCGATCAGAAAAATCCTGAGACAAAAAATTTGGAACACAGAAACATTAACAGAAAAACACTAGCTAAGTTTGTACGAAAAAACTGTCATCAATTGTCAAAAATGCCTGGATGCAAATGAACGTTATTTTGCAACTCTGTAAATTTATACCCACTTATAGAATTAGATTTTACATTACATAAAAATTTTGTTAAATGTTTGCTTGTTCAAGTGTAAAATAAATTTACGATGAATTTGTCCCAAAACATTTGACTTGTTGAGAAGTTGGTATTAACGTTAATATTCTATTGAGGATTCAAGGCGTTTATGTGTTTTTTTATGAGCTTACTCATTAATGCTATTTTCTGACAAATAAATCAGGTCCTCCGTAGAAAAAACTGATACATTACGGGTGGTCATATTTCAGTGATACTTCAATCTTTTGTGCACTTGTGAGATATCACTGGACTAGACAATTTGAACTCTTTTCAATATTCGAAAAATCCAATATTGCGGCATTAAGAAAAATAAAAGTTGAGGCGGGTTGCTGGAAAACAAAAAAATATTGAGACAAATAATACATGCTATCTTATTTTTCTTGAAAAATGTCCGAATAATGTCACATTTTCACAGCTGCCAAATCAACCGTTTTGGATTTACTGGCAAAAAAACATATTCTGCCATTTTTGATCGGTTTTTCGCTGATACTTTCAAAATCATTTGACCGATCGTAAATTTGAACCCGGCTATCGAAAGCACTAAGTTTCCTCTAAAACTCACCACCTAACCTTTGCTATAGGACAACAGGATCCCTATATAGAGAAGCGAATCCGAGACACACTGTTGTACATGCTCGGACAGATTATTATGCAGTTATTTCCATTCTCAAAGCGTATGGTCTGGTGAATGCGCATTGGCCTGTGTTGGTCAACGTTGGCGCTGAATGACATTTGTTTTCACGGCCAACAAATGATACTTCGCCAAATAAGCAACTCTATATACAGTGACGAAAAATGTAGATCAAACACAAATACGATGTGCACTGATTGCGATACGAGGATGTATAGCTAAGGCCCGTATCGTCAGTCGTCCCTACAGTTGTAGGGCGCGTTTATGGCCTCCTTGATTGTCATAGTTTTATACTTCTCCGTGTCAACGCTCTATTTTGAGGTTATGTCACAAACATCTATTTGCATCAAATTGTGCTTGCTTTTGAGTTATATCATGTTTTATCAGCCTGAAATTTCCTACAATTTAAAAGGAAAACATATCTTAACAATTCCTATTGATGCTGACACGGGACGAGTGTAATCTAGAAATTTTTGAAGGAGAGAAAAGAGTATGGCAATCAAGGAGGCCATAAACGCGCCCTACAATAATTGTAGGGACGACTGACGATACGGGCCTAAGTAACAATCTTAAAACTTTGATTAAGGTCTCAATTGTTGCACAAGATAGATTTGTGAAACCTATTTGCTGTGCAATAACACAATTCTTAGAATTAACTTAATTAGATGGATAGCAGCGGTAATACAGTAAAAAATAAAAGTTCTAAGAGCAAGTGGTCTTATCATTCCCAAACTCTAGAGGAGGAACTTGAAGATCTATGCACTGAATAATATTTGCGCTTTCCATATCAGTTGACTAATATAAGAACGCAGGTGAAGACGAGCGGTCCCGGCTGACGAAGATATTTTACTTTATTGACCAGTTAACGGTTATCCACCAATTACCATTAACCAGTTAGCTCCCAGTTGACCCGCCCCCTCTTCCTAGGGGATCCGCTGCAGATATCAGAAGGGATCAAGACTCAAAACAACCTATTTTAATGACGTCATGATCACAGCCATGTTTTCAAAGTGATACGCTTTGGGAATGAAAGTGCAGAGCAAAGTTTTCACTCTTTGAGCTTTCTGAGTTCCCTGGGGTCTATAAATCTAGGATTTTGCAATATTTTTACAGCTTTTTTTGGAGTATACTTACTCGTAGAGTGTTTCAGCAATGTCGTTACTGGTTGTCTGGAGATTCAATTGGACGCCCATTGTGCTAGCTGAAAAAAAAGTTACGTAGCAATGATTTGCTATCAGACAATATGCTGCAATAATTGATCAGTAACAGACAAACGTGTATCTCAACAATCAGAGTACATATAACTCCCTGCCCCAAAAAACATGTTGGAGAACCCTATTGAAAATTCGTTTTTCTTGAATAACATTGTAAGAATTTTTTAATATGTCTAATATGTTTTGTCATGTCAACTTTTGATTGGATATACTCTGTTCATTAGCGTTGCGTGAAATGTTTGCTGAACAAACGGTAAGACGATCTAATTTGTTATCATTTGTCAGTTCATGTGGGACCCATTTTCTTAACTTCCATGTCTTTCCTAGCTGATGAAGATGCAAACGAATAGCTTCAGGACTCGCTCTGAACATTTCTGCAAGTTCTTGGCACACTGTCCTGGAATTTGCGTCCACAACCTGTCGAAGATCTTCGTTGTTCATGATTTTTGGTCTCCCTGGGCGCGGTTTATTGCTCAAACTGAGATATCCCGAAGAACATTTTCTGAACCACTTCTGTGCCGTACCAAGTTTGTACTCATACAGTAAACAACTTCGAATAACTATTTTATCCGTCGCCATTTTCAATTATTAAAACTAGGTATGTAACAATGTTTGGACGACTTTCTGCAGAATGGAACCAACCCAGAAAAACAATAATTAAGCAATTAGGCTTTAAAGTGTTGACAATGATAAACAATTCATTTCAGACCAAGAACGATTTTAATTAATGGCTCTAAATATGTGTGTATCTTTTTTACAGTAAATGGTATTTATTGCTCGTAATAGTTTATTTTCCTAAAATGTAGATTTTTCGTATTCAGTGGGTTGGTTACTTTCTGCAAAAAGCCGTCCATTTCATCAAGGAAACATTTTTGGAAGCCGAAATTCAGTCTACGGTTCCGATAGAATACGTTGATCAATGCTGTAATTCAATACCGGCGGTATCAGGGATATTAAGTTGGACTTACCACAAGCGTTCTCCAAATGACATCTAATTGCCGCCATGTATAAGGGAAAGTCTTTATGGGTAGCATTTTTCCTTAAAACATCGACAAAGTCGGTAGCCTGCTCATTGAAGATGCTGACGAAAGAGTCTAATATCTTTTGGCTGAAGGATCTTGCTAATAGTTTCCTGTGGACTTTCCATTTGCTTTCTGAAACATGCAATGAAGAACTTAAAGCACCAAATAACCCTCACTATCAAAGAAAGCTCTACTTTTCATAGCTTGCATGTCATGTCATGGATCTAGCAGTTTAAATGGCAAAGGCTGTACCTTCACAGGTAAGTATCCCGTCTCCGAGAAGCTCAGCCATCAAGCTATAGAATGAGGGATCCTTGTTTAGAAGATTGGGACGATTTATAAGTTTTGCTATGTCCTGGGGCTGCATTACCATGTAGGCTAACCTTGAGCCCAGCCAAATCTTCACAATTTCGGGATATTCTTTACATATCTTCAACCCTGCACGCATTCTTTCTGAAAACAAGAAAGGTGTCATGCAGATTACCTCAGGATTTTCCACACACTAAGGTAAATGTAAATTAGACTTGATTTTATCATATGAACTTATGTACCCTATTTAGGCTGCACCAAGATGGTTGCTGAAACGAAGAAACGGTAAGGAACAGGAGTTTTTAAGTTTGCACAACCCTGTACCGAAATGAGTGTAAAATGTTATATATAAATATAGCAATATTCTACCAGCGGTTTCTAGAGCTTAAAGTAGGAAGAAAATTTTATATAAATATAGGTCGACAAACGTCTCCTAAGGGCGCTACGGTCTTTTAAAGGGGCTCCCCTGAAGATGGTTTTTCCTTAATATTTCCGAAACGTGTTGAGATAAAGACATGAAATTTGGTATTCTAGCCTAGTTTTTTATGATGAATTTAAAAATATTAACAATGTTAGACAGTTTTGTTTGGAAGCGTATGTAACAGGGGAGGACTCGGGTTATTTTAGCCTCAAAATTTTTGTGTGATTCTATTTTTGAAATTCAATTTTAGAATTTGAAAATTCAGGATTTTCTACATAAAAAAGGTACTCTTATTGAACATCGATAAATTGTGCCATTTTTGAATAAAAAGGGACCAAAATTGACAAATTGTGGTATAACTGGTTTTTTAGATAATGTTTTTTCTATTACTGCGTTTATTTTCTACACAAATTGATTCTAAAATAAAATAAAAAGAGTGAGGTTTTTCGTGACAAAAATGCAAGACGCGTTTTTTTAGGTCTGCTAATACGATTCAAATTAAAAGAAATAGCCGATACTACATTCGGTGCATCTTCTGGTTGGCACAATAAATTTATAATTCGCCACAATATAAGCTTTTTCGGGAATAGAAACTTCGGTTAATGCTGAAGTTATTTCATCGTTTTTGGAAAAATGTCCTTTGATTGAGAGATATTCACCGAGACTCATCTTATAATACCGATAAGACAGGCTTGTATTTTAGGACTCTACGCGACAAAACGTTCACATTAAAGAAGGAAAAACGTGTTGGGGGTAAGTATCCCAAAGAGTGGTTTACAGTTTAATACGGCGGGTGAAAAAGAAAAACTATTGGTCATTGGTAAGACAGCTAAACCCAGAGCTTTTAAAAACATAAATGACCCGCGTGTAACCTAGAAATGCAGTAAGAAAATGGCTAAACAAAAAGGAAACGTTTTGTTATTTTGTCCCCTAATTGTAGGTCAGCTTGACAGCCATTTGACCAAGAGAATATAAAGAGTTTTGAAACTATTTACCGAAGTCTAGTACTCGAACACCTACCAGTACGCAATAAAACTGCTGTTACAGCTTTTGAGTTAATAATGAAAATTACGTCGTTGGATGCAAAAACCGCATAGGACCAAGTGACAAAAAAAAACAGTGCTAAATTGCTTCCTCAAGGATTTAAGCATAAAAGTATGCAAAGTGAAGACCAGTTAAATGAGGCTGATACATCTCACCCAGAAGATGACTAACCACTTAATGTATCTTCTGATAACATCAAAAAAAACGGATTTATTTAAATTGACTTATAATGATTTGCTGAACCTAGATAAAAGATTGCATGTTGAAGATCCAGTTAAAATGCAAGAACTTTCCAAGGATTCTGATGTCGATGAGGTTCCAGTACCAACAGAAGCTATTTTAAATTATGGTAAAGCTATTACCCTGACCAAGCAGCTTAAAAGTTTTATCAAAAATCATGGAGATAAGAGGTTCCAGTACCAACAGAAGCTATTCCAAATTATGGTAAGGCTGTTACCCTGACCAAGCAGCTCAAACATTTTGTCGAAAATCTGTGGAGCTTCTTTCTAAATTAGAAATACGATTTCAAGACGCCATTTCAACGGAAAGGAGGAGACCAACGACAACACGTATATAAATTTTTGCGTACTTGACGTGACTTTTGATTTCATTGTTTTGTGTTACTACATTTATATGTACATACTTTGTCTCTAGTGTGCCGAGATTGTGGAACAATCTATAAGAGGAGGCTTTTCCCAGTCGCAGTTCAAAAATCGGGTTCACAAAGCTTATTTGGGATCCTCATAACAGCCGTGGTGCTCTGGCACTTAGACTCCTTCAGTAGGTACAAAAAAATTGATCATGGTTACAGAGACAAAAAGCAAACATATTCCATTCAGCCCGATAACTCTTTATGAAAATAGTTAACGTAATTGAAGCGCTTTTCTTTACTAACTCATTGAAATATTATGTAAAGTACTCAAAAATTACTCACGAGCTCCATCTCCGGCAAATCTGTATGCAGTTCCAATGATAGGAAGAGCTAGAGGTCCAGGTACACTCCAAGAATAATAGTGTAACTTCCAATTCTTCCTTAAATCGTTTGCCCAGTACACCAGGATCAACGTTAAGCTAGATATTAACAACTGCTGAGTAAAGCTAGTCAGGGCTAAGAACTTCGTGATTCCTGAAGAGAGGGAACCGTGGTATAGGTCGAACATGCTGAGAAACTAAAAGGGATCAAACTGAGAATGACGATACACCTCTCAGGTTCCTAACACGCGACTGGGATCCATGTCGCGCTTTTCCATATTTTTATTCACATATTAGATGACCCTGACGTAAATTATTAAACTGGTTGAAAATTCAGATCGAAATAGTATAAATATTGTCAAAAATCTCATTTCCGATATGATGAACGGAGAAAACTGCTATACAATGACGTTCATTCTATATACCTGTTATATACGAATGCTGGTTATGGTTCGCATGGTTCCAAAGGTTTCCTATGCATGGCCTGACAGTAAACGTACATTCACAAAATGGCGTCAAGTATATTGACTATGTACTTCCCCCACAAGGGTGTGATTAGTTCATAAAGGATTATGATAGGTACGAGTCAGCCTCTTTGAGAAAAACTAATATGTGCAAGAGGAAAATTAAATATACAGTGCTTATTTTAATACCCCCTCCTCTTTAATTTTTTTAACGGATCAATCAAAAAATAAAAACTTGGGGTAATGAAATTGATGGATGGATGGATACCATATTTTAGAGTAAAATTGACAGCCGAAAATGTCAAGATGGCCGCTGGGAGCCATCTTGAGAAAAAAAATTATATAAAAACGGGGGTCTTGTGGCACATCATTTTGAAGCTCCTGTTGGGTACTTTAAAACCCTAGAATATAAAGTCAATACCTTTATCTACTACAAAATGGTGGTACATTTAATAATTACCTGAATTCATTGACATTTAACTTAATAATTCGAGTAAATACGTTGAGTTTAGTTTAGAAGATGCTGGAAATGGTTGCCTTGAAGTTCTTGACACAATAACAGCCGGCCCGTAATTTCGCGTCAAATTTTTTCAAACATAGTAACATCGATATTTCTACAAATATTTGTTATTCTCAGCCGTATATCCAATATTGAAGCAGGTACAGTTTCGTACACCTTTTAGTTCAAATAGCCCCATAAAAAAAAGTCTAAAGAAGTTAAATCTGGTGAGCGAGCTGGCCATTCCACAGGACCTCGACGGCCAATTCACCGACCGGGGAAGTTGTTATCTAAATAATTCCTAACTTGTCTGTACTAATGTGGTGGAGCACCATCGTGCTGGAATACAGTATCAAAATAGAATTCATTAATATTCACTTCGACGATTTCGGTGATTAGAGGGTCAATAGTATTTTCCATCATATCCAAATACAGCTCCCCGGTCCAGTTTGTTCGATGATAAGAGGCCCCACAATATGATTTCCCAATATCTTTGCCCAAACGTTAATATTTTGTGTTTCCCGGAAGACGTGAGGATTGGTGTCACTCCAATAACGACAATTTTGTCTATGCACATTACCATTGAAAAAAATGTACATTCATCACTAAAACAAATATTTTGGATATAGGTAGGATGCCTTGCAATGGCTTCCGTCATAGTTTCGCAGAATTCTGTTCTTCGATCAGGGTCAACTTCAGTTAGCTGATGTACCATTTGAATTTTGTATGGGTGGTACTTATTATTTTTCAAAAGTCTCCATACAGTGGAAGGACAAACCTCACATACATTTGCGATGGAGGATGTAGACTTTTGGGGATTTATTATGATCTCACCAGTTATTTGAACTTGTTTTTCTTCCGGCATGGTCGGATGACCTGGGAGCTTTCTGTTGTTTACAGTACCAGTAGCTGTAAATTTAGATACAAGTTCCCTTAAATATTTTATACAGACGATTCGGGAAACGACCATTAAATATCCTTTCGGTCTCATGAAGGTTACGCGTCGCACCATAAATAAAAATTGCTTCGATTTTATCTTCCAGTGGACGATTTTAAAAATAGTTCAAACAGTATCTAGCACTGAAACCGAAAACTAAATAAGAATATTTTAGCTGTTCAATAATGTTTGTTTTCGTACTGATATTCTTGTGACTGTCAACAAGAAATAACAAAACAAGTTTTTATCGCTGTTGGTGTGGATACGGCAGGGAATTACAATTATTTGTAGAGATATGCATGTTAGTAGGTTCGTGTTCAAGTAATTATTAAATGTACCATCATTTTGTAGTAGGTAAAGGTATTAACTTTATATTCTGGGGTACTCGTCAGGAGCTGCGAAATTATGTGTCACAACCTTCAGTCCTCAGCATTCTAACCCCTACGAAACTCTTTCGAAAATGCTCAAGAGCCATTGGCACGTCAAAAGGTAAAATTTGATCTATTTTCATTTTCATCTTTTTATCTGTAGCTCTACACTAAAACTACAAAGCTTCTTCGTTACTGGCATATCTCATTGTACAAATTTCTTGAGATTACAATACGTAGTAAAAGCTCATTGTTGACTAATAAGGGCAAATTACCGGTTCAAAGCTTCCGTCTAATGAAAGTTCTAGCAGTTTTGTTCTATAATATCCGTAAAGAACCTTACAACAATGACGTTGCTCGCAATATACGGCTGGAATGCAGTTACAGTATTGTTACGCAGAAATTTCAGACGCTCATGTATTTGTCACATCACTTAGAATGCTAGTGTGTCGA